TGTGGTCATCCATACCATGGAATAGACACAGTAAAAAGGAATCAACTACTGAACATGCAACAACTTAGATGAACTTCAAAGGAATTATGCTGAATGAAAAATGTTACATACTGTATGATTCTATTATGTAACATTCTTGAAATGACAAAATTATAGAAATGGAGAACAGATTAGTGCTTGCCAGGAGTTAGGGATGGGAGGGGTGAGGGGACGGGGATGGCTACAGGGTAGAAATTAATATATTGATTGGCAGTGGTCATACAAAGTTACACGTGTGATAGAATTGCTACAGAACACACGAGTGAGTGCCAGTATAACTGGAGAAGTCTGAATAAGCTTGTGGATTGCAATAATATCAATTTCCTGGTATTGATACTGTAGTGTAATTATGCAAGATACTAACATTGGGGGAGGCTGACAGAAAGGTGTATGGAAACTTCCTATACATTACTTTCCAACCTCATGTAAATTTATAATTATTTCCAAATAAAAAGTTTTAAAATTTTAGTTGCAGATGTTTTAGTATGTTCTCCTAAAATCCATATTATTATGATCACATGTAAGAAAATTAATATAGTCCTATCATACCTAATATCCACTCCATAGTCAAATTTCCACAATGGTCCTCAAAATGACTTTTCTTTATAGTTACTGTTATTGTTTTGTTTTCAAACAAGATCTAAACCCAGTTTATACATTGTAGTTATGTGTTACATCTCTTTAGGCTCTCTCTCTCTCTCTCTCTTTTTTTTTTTTTTTTGGAGGCTGGCTGGTACAGGGATCGGAATCCTGGACCTTGGTGCTATGTTTAGTCCTCTTTTAACCTACAAGTCCCTCCACCTTTTCTTTCATGATACTCACTTTTCAAACAGTCCAAGCCAGTTTTCTTCTCCGACATCTCACAGTCCAGGTTTGTAAATCGTTTTCCCATGGCCCCTGTATTTCCTGAAAGCTGAGAATGAGGCTGCAGGCTTGACTCACTTCAGGTGAAATGTTTCTAGCTCCACAGGTATGAAGTGCTTCCTGTCACTCCCCCCAGGAGGCACTCATATCAGTTTGTCCCCCTATTAGAGAAGCCAGGCTTGACTGCTTCATTAGGGGTGACTGCCAAATCTCTCCGATGGAAGTGTCAGGTTCCCTTTATGACTAGAGTTTGTGGTGTGACACTTGGATACCGATAACTAATCACTCAATGGTTTTAGCACCCATTTATGATACTTGCGTTAATAACTACTACTATTATCACATTGTGGGTTGCAAAATAATGATTTTCTAATTCTAGTGCTCTTTCTCCATGTGCAAGCTGTCATTCTTCTGCAAAACACATTTTTCTTTTGCCCCCCATTTTGAACTATCACTGTGAATGTGTGTGTGCCCACACATGCTAATTCAGTATGTTATACTGTGTTACATCGTTATTCTTTGATGATTAGTTGAAGGATCCTTTGCCCAAATTTAAAAAAACAATAATAAAAAAAACAAAATTAAATTTACTGTTTTTGACACATCAAAATGTTCCTGGTTAGAGACCAATCTGAATAGGCTTGCACTGCCCAAAGATATAAAAACTTATAATAATTGCAATGAATTTAAACACCTCAAATATGCTTATACCCATGAGCTTATAATTATACTAACAAACTAAAGTTGGATGATGCTAGCATACTGACTCATGATTTTTTTTTTTTTCCTTTTTGTCTTTTTTCGTGACCGGCAATGGATTGCAACCCTCAGTGTTGCGCCCGTACCGGACCAGGACCGGCAACGGTATCGCAACCCTCGGTGTTGCATCCGCACCTCGCTCAGCCAGTGAGCGGCCAGTCTGTACGTGGGATCCGAACCCTCTGCGGGAGCGCCATCACGCTCCCAAGCCGCACACTGTAGCAGTGCGCCACTGGGCCGGCCCCCTGACTCATGATTTTGATACTCAGTAAATAACGGGAGAAAATACTAAATATTATCTTGCCTTTACTATATGAAGAGTTCCTCAGGGTGACTAAGTCATTGGTGAGGGAAAGTTTTCTAGCTAACAGGTGGAGGAGGAATGCTAGAATGAACACACCCCATATTACCTCCCATAATGAATAGTGGATCTGGACAGTGAGCTTACATCACAAGAACGCCATCTAGAATGAAATGTAAGGGCTTTCTGCGTCCTAATTCTGTGTCCCTGTGTGTTGATTCTACTCTCAAGGAGCCCGTGCATTTCATCCTAAGTCTGGCTGGCAATTTTCATGCCCTGGTCCCCCAGGGTCTTCCTCAGATCCCCCTCCCTGAGGGTCTCAGGGTGTTCCTCAGCTCAGAATGTTTGTGTCCTTGGTCTTCAGTTCATGCTGGCTACTGGTGAAGTGTCCAAGCCTATTTGGGTCTGTGTTTCTTTGCCAAACTTGTAAGCTGAGTCAAGCATTTCTGTGTACGCAGCTCTTAGCACCCCACACCCTTGTTCTGTGCTACCATCAGGAGACCTGCTGGTGGCTGAGGGCAGTCTTTATGGTACCAGTTGGTGGGTCCTAACAATCTGTGAACCCCACCCTGTCCAACATCTCCCCGCTTTGCTATAGGTTCAGAAAGTTCCCCAAACATTCCCTTCTCTGAATTGGCTTATCGCAAGCTTTCCCTTTCCATACCACTCTTGGTTGCTGGATATAATCACCTTTATATGCCATGCATTGAAAGGTGTGTGTGTGTGTATGTGTATGTGTGTGTGTGAGAGAGAGAGAGACAGAGACAGAGACAGAGATAGAGGCAGAGACAGAGAGACAGAGAGACAGAGAGAGAGAATGGGCCAGTCACTAATGTGACAGACAATGTCTGGGCTAGTTCTCCCTTCTTAGGGAATCATAATGACCCAGCCACCTAATGGGATCCAAAAATGGCAGGGTCTTTGGAACTCAAGAATTCACTCAGTCATACATTCATTTGCTCATGCACTTATTTACTCTGCTGTTTTATTACCTAGTTTTTATCAGGCACATAAATGAGTTGAACAGATCCTGCAGAGTGAGAATTTGCAGGAGAAAAGTCTTGCAAGATAAATTTAGAGCTGTGTGGTAGGTGCTAAATATAGTTAGGAAAACACACTGTTTGTACATTGGTGGAAGTTAGTAACCACATGAAGAGGTCAGGAAAGTCTTGCCCAAGGAGGGAGATTTGAGATAATCATGGAAACTTGAGTGGGCGCAGCCAGCTGGAGGACACCGCAAAGGGACAGGAAGTCCTCCCAGCAAGTAAATGGCTTGAGACAAGATTTAGAGGCAGCAAAGAGAATCAGGTGTCTGGGTAATTACAATTGGCTTAACATGGCAGAAACAGACCGTGAGGAGGGTCTACAAGATTTGGGACCTGGGATAGGGTCTGGGCAAGTTAAGAAAGCTGTATCATGATAAGAAGTCTGAATTTTATCCCCTCAATCCATACTGTCCTGTCACAAGACATATGCAGCTGTTGACCACTTGGAATGTGGCTGGTCCAAATTGAGAGGAGCCACAAGTGTAAAATATATGCTGGATTTTGAAGAATAAGTACAAAAAATCAGTTTAAACGATCTCAGTGAGTGAAGGGCAGGGACTGACATGTGTCTGCCTGTCAGGGGGACCCACTGGGGTCTTTTTAGCCATGGTAAATGAACATTCTAAGCCAAGTTTGGGGTCACCAGGGAGATGGCTTACCTGGCACCTCTCTGAGTGTGAAGCATGTCTACACACTGTGTGGATGCCCGATGTACAGTGTCCCTCTCTGCAGGGCACATTCCGATCCACCACCCAGGAGCACAGGGTGCCATGCGGGGGGTCAGGGCTACGGGAACTCTCCATTCCTCCATCACTCAACAAGCCCAATGTGGCCTCAGTGAGACCACATCCTTCTTGCCTCTAGGTCTCTCCATGGGTCCAGAGGCTCAGGATCCCTGGAGTCCTCAGACAGGAGGAGTTGAGGGGGACCTGGATTACCCCACCAAGTGTGGCTTGGCTAAATCTGGAGGCAGGAGCTGGAGTGTTTCCCTATAGCAGGAGTGTGCAAACTACAGCCCAAGTGACGTATTCAGCCCACCCCATCTGTTTCTGCAAACAAAGTTGAATAGGAACACAGCTCTGCCCATTTGCTCATGTGTTGTCTGTGGCTGCTGTCTTGCTACAAGGACAGAACTGAGTAGTTGCAGCAAAGACTGTACAGCCCACAAAGCCACAAATATTTACTATCTGACCCTTTACAGAAAATGTTTGCTGGCCCCTGCCACTCTCCCATGCTGAAGAGTAAATGCTGTACTCTCGCCTAGACCAGAGGTTCTCATCCAGGGTGGTGTTGCCACCCTGGGAACATTTGGCAACAGCTGGAGACATTTTTGGTTGTCACAACTGGCAGGAGGGGATGGGGGTTGGTATCTAGTGGGTAGGGGCCAGGGATGCTGCTCAACATTCTACAATGCACAGGACAGCCCCACAACAAAGAATTGCTTGGGCCAGAGTGTCAATAGAGTAGGTGAAGAGCCTGCCCTTGGCCCCTGTTGTTAGAGGCCTGATAAATGTGTTTTCTAGGCTTGTTTACCCTGTGACTCCTGGACATAATCAGATGACAGTAGAGGGCCGTCCCTGTCAAGGATGTTCCCCCCCCAAGGTGCTTTTGTGAGCCCCTTGCCGCCCATGACCCACAAGAGTAGGGGCTCCAGTGAGCCCTGTCCACGGTGCTATAGCCAAGCTGACCGTGACGGGCTAGTTTCCTGGGACCTTCACCCTAGGCTGGTCCTTGGATGCATCCTACCCCTTCACAGAACATCCAGGGTATCTTTGCTACCAGATTGTGCACCAGTCAGAGCAAACTCAGCAAAATAACTTCCCAAGACACAAACAGCTTTAATTCCCCAATCCAGCCTCCAATGGGGCTTACAGCAACACCACTGGACAACACTGAGTGGCTCAGTCTCCTGGGCTCCCCACAGCCCAGCGTCTCCCCTCTCCTCCTCCTAGCACCATCCTCTTCCAGTGGGCAGATGTGCTGCTTCTGTCTTAGTTCAAAGTAAGTGTGCCCGAGGGTGCCTGGGACCCTGAAGCAGCAGGCTCCTTTTCTTCCTCCTGCTCCCTTTCCACCTCCCTCTCTGATTCCTGGGCCCCCACAGCACAGTAGTAAATAGCCTCGTCCTCAGGCTGCAGCTCAGAGATGCTCAGATAGCCCCTGTTCCTGGCCACGTCTTTGGATCCAGAGAAGCGAGGGGGGACCTTGTGGCCCTGGCTCTGGTCTGAGTGTGAGAAGTATCTCAGCAGGAACCTTGGAGGGTGGCCAGGCCTCTGCTGGTACCAGTAGACATTGTGGATGCCAACGTAATGGTCGCTGCTCAGGGTGCAGGTGAGACGGACTGTGGTTCCCAGGGACGAGGACACAGATGGTGGCTGATGCAGCACAGGCTGAGAGCCACAACCTGGGGACACAGAAGCACATGGACCCCTGTGGCAGGGCAAGGCACTAAAAGGGGCAGGGGCTACGAGCTCTGGGGGTTCCCTTACCTGTGCAGTGGGTGAGCAGCGTGAGCAAGACCAGAGTCCAGGACATGGTGCAGAACTGAGAGCTCTGCCTCCCGTGGCCACAGCTCCCAGGGCCCTCATGATCTGGGCCAGCATCCTCTTCCCTGCTCCGAGGGGGTGGGACCATGACACACCCAGTTCCTGGCCACTACCATCCCAAGCTCTCTTGGGTTTGCTGTGTCAGTTAGGGGAATGGTGCAGGGTTAGCCTTTGCGGCTCTGGCCTTGCTCCATGGAGGCGTTTGGGGAGGAAGCACCTGCTGGAATCTCAGGGGCCAGTGCCCAAGAGGCCAGCCTTCGGGCTTCAGTCCCTGAGGAGGAGTAACCTCAACCCCTCCTCAAGGAAGCTGAGCCCCACAGAAATAAGTTTCTGGTCCAAATTTAGATGCCTGGTGAACTGGGAAGAGAGGCACGTCCTCGGGGTGGTGAAAACACCTGCTTCGTTCAGCAGAAAATGTTGGAGTCCCCAGAGGGAATAGGATGCTCTGTCCCCTTCCATGCTCCAGCACTGCCTTCAACCCAGCTCCTTTCCCTCTTAGATGTGGAGTGATGGGGACTTTGAGAAAGAAGCAGCGGGGGGTCCCAGAGTCATTCCACTGCCCACTTTGCAGCTCATTAAGCAGGCACACTCGGCCCTGTTGTGGACTGAACTGTGTCCCTCTCCCTCCATTCACATGTTGAAGTCCTAACCCCGAATGTGACTGTATTCAGAGAGAGGGCCTTTGAATAGGTAATTAAGGTAATTAAGGTTGGATGAGGTCATAAGGAAGGGCCATGACCAATACAACTAGTGTCCTTATAAAAAGGGGAAATTTGGACTGAGAGACAGACATGCAGAGAGAAGATGGTGTGAGTGACATAGAGAGAAGGCAGCATGTACAATCCTAGGAGAGAGCCTGGGACAGAGCCTTCCCTCGCAATGGCTCAGAGGGAACCAGCCCTGCCAGCACCTTGGTTTTGGACTTCTGGCCGACAGAACTGGGAAGCAATAAATTTCTGTTGTTTAAGCCACCCAGTCTGTGGTGTTTTGTTACCACAGCCCTAGGAAACAAATACAGAAGTATCTTAGTCCATTTGGTTTGCTAAAACAAAATACCAAAAATAGGGTGCTTATAAACAATAGAAATTTATTTCTCAAAGTTCTGGAGTCTGGGAAGTCCAAGATCAAGATTCAGCGTCTGGTGAATCTTCCTGATTCACAGATGGCTTTCTTCTTGCTATAACTCACATGGTGGAAGGGGCAAGGGATGCCTTTGAGCCCCCTCTCCCCCCACCCCTTTTTTTCCCCCCTTTTTGTGTTTTTTCGTGACCGGTAATGGGATCGCAACCCTCGGTGTCGCGCCCGCACCGCGCTCAACCAGTGAGTGGACCGGTCTCTATATGGGATCCGAACCCTCAGCGGGAGCGCTGCTGCGCTCCCAAGCACCGCACTCTACAGAGTGCGCCACCGGGCCGGCCCATCTCCCCCTTTTTTAGAAAAGATGACAGGTAAGGGGATCTTAACCCTTGACTTGGTGTGATCAGCACCACGCTCTCCCAAGTGAGCCACGGGCCAGCCCTTTGAGCCTCTTTTAAAGGGGCACTAATCCCATTCATGAGGGCCCCACCCCAAGATCTAATCACCTCCCAAACACTCCACCCCCTAATAACATTACCTTGGGGTTGGGATTTTAACATATGAATTTGAGGGACACACAAACATTCAAGCCATAGCCAGAAGTAATCTCTAAAGGTCTCTTGTCCCACAAGCTCATAGGCTGTGACTATAGCTGAAGTGACTAGTCAACTAGGTGGCATTTGGTGGCTGGGCATGCACCAGGATTCCTTGTCTCATGAACACATGATACGGTAAGCCCACCTCTGTCTCAGATGATCCCCCTGCGTAGTCTCGACTTGTCCCATGTCCAGCCTCTCCCTGGCAGAGAGCAGACCTTGCCCATCCGAGTCAGCTGGGCCAACTCCAGAGTCCTGGCCTTCTTTCTGCTGCTTCTCAGACCAACAGCTCCACCTGCAGGTGAGGGGTGGAGAGGGCATCTTGGCCACCCCTTGTCCAGACATGCCTGCAACCACATCTATGACCTGTTGCTCCTCCCTTGCAGCACAGGCTGGTGGGTGATGGGGAACTAACCAGTGAGTGTTGATTCCTGGGTAATCGATCCATTGATACCATAGATCAAGCATCATGAAACATCTTTCTCAGAGCAGGAGGGACCCACAGCTGATCCCCAAAAGTCTTAGTGTGAAAGAAGCATGGTAGGAAGAGCAGAGAATTCCCTGCATCTGAGGTGAGAGCCTGGGAAGAGACAGGAGGAATGTTCTCTTCGAGCAAAATCACGAGGGAGGGAATCAAAGGAGGGGCATGATTTGTTTCATCTTTCTTTAACAAAGTGCTGACCGCTGTGCATGGATCAGATGGAGAGAACACAGGAAGTATTATGAAATACAGGTAGTATTTCATAAATTTATCAACATTTGGATGGATCCACTTTTGTAAACAATAGTTTCCTGTCATGAGACTAAATAAAATCAGATTGTTTCTCATCTCAAATCCAATGAGTAATGATTAGCAAAATAGGTAAGTGTTTCCTTTTTAATTTTTTTCACTTTGAATTTTAAACAATCACCATCATAGCTCTTTGTGTATGTCGTATGTTCACACTATAGATCAATGAAATACATTTTAGGACATTTCTGGTGGTTATTATTATTGTTATTTTACATCAGGCCATATTTACTCATTTACACCTTCCCCCAGACCTGTGTAGGCATTGGAGGGTGTGACTCTTGGCACAGGGTGACTTTATTTGCTTTTTAACATGGCCGTTTTGATAGACATTTTGATGGATCCAACAAGAAAAAATGGAGAAATCAATCCACCAGATATTTGAACCACAGCCCCAAATTCAATCAGGCTTAGCTGTGGGCAAAGAATGTGAAAGTGATTGCACTTTCCCTTCTCTCATCAAACAATATGCCTAATCAAGTTAATTTCATTAGGGCATATTAAAGGAGCTCCTAGGGAGTGATTCCCTCACTCCTTTGGGAGGACTGGAGGTCTAGACCTCCAGAACTGCAGATTAACATTCTCTGTGATGGGCCAGGATTGCATGACACCTGACCAGTTGGAGAGGAATTTGGGGTGGCCAAATTCCTTATTGGCAAGGTGCCATTTTCCCGGTATTTAGATACTATTGGGATTTAAGGATATCTCTCTTCCTCCCTCCCTCTCTCTCTCAAGTCATTACTAAGAGTCAGGTCAACACTTCCTGCCTATGGAGGAATGAGAAACCAGGACTCTGAGCTGAGGACTAAACCTTAGAGGGTGGAGACTGAAGGAGTCTGTGGCCACACTGAGGCCCCAGCTGGCCAGTCTCACTGATCTCGACCTTTGCCAAATGTCAAGACCTGGGATCTGAGGAATGGGTGAGTGAGATCAGCTGACGCAGGTGTTTCTCTAACGTTTGTAAACTAGATTTATAAACTCAAATGCCTGCAATGACCAGGTAAGGGAGGCGAGTTGAATAAAGAAGGCTATAGGGGGTTGCATTAACTGGGAGATCCCCGCCCAGTCAGAAAGGGGAGAAGCCACCCAGTAGAGGTCTAGAGCCCCTAACCAGGGGGGCCTCATTTTTCAATATTTCAGGAGAAGCTGGGATTTGGGTTTCGATGAGAGCTCTTTTTCTTTCTAACACGTATAAGTCACACTTTGAGAATCTTTGGTTAAGAGCGTGAATATCCGTGGTCCCTGTCCCCATGAAAGGTAGAGTCTAGTGGGGAATGTTGTGGGAACCTCGTGGGGAAATAAATAATTACAACTACATGTTTCAATAAGTGTCATGAGAGGAAAAAAATATCTGGAACCAATTAGGAGGTAGGTGGTGGTCATCAAAGGTCCCCCAAGATGGGAAAAAATAGGGTGATACATGAAGGGTGGGAAGGGTGTATGGACCAGGCAGAGATGTGAGCGTGAGGGAGGGCCCCGTTTCCGGAGAGAGCCTGGTGTGTTTGGAAATAGAAGGCAAGTGTGGCTGAGACCTAGACAACCAATGAGGAGAATGCCCCAAATCAGGCTGGAGAAGGCGCAAGCCAGATCCCTTGGTTTACTACAGGAGATGCCCCCTATTTGAATTGGGTGGATTGGGGTCCTGGAGCACCAGACACTCAGCAGTTCTCAACACTGTCCTACCCAGCAAAGACCCATCTCCCATCTGAATCAATGTTCCAGTGCCCCGCCCAAAGATCTTGTGGGTGGAAAACTTATTGACAATGAATGAGTCTAGAACTTAATCCCATTTTCCACATAATCTTAAAAATAATTGCCTGTGATGTTTTAATATACACTGAACTTTCCTTTAGTGCAACAACCCTGTATAAACAGAGACATAATTTTTTTTTTTTTTTTTTTTTTTTAAAAATGACCGGTAAGGGGATCTTAACCCTTGACTTGGTGTTGTCAGCACCACGCTCAGCCAGTGAGCGAACCGGCCATCCCTATGTGGGATCCGAACCCGGGGCCTTGGTGTTATCAGCACCGCACTCTACCGAGTGAGCCACGGGCCAGCCCCAGACATATTTTTTTTTAATTGTGGCAAAATACACATAACATAAAATTTACCATCTTAACCACTTTTAGGTGCACAGCTCAGCAGTGTTCAGTACATTCACGTTGTTGGGTAACTAATCCGGAGCTCTTTTCATTTTGCAGAACTGCAAATTCTACTTGCTTCTCATCAGTGCTATGAAAAGAATTAAAATACATTTTGCACATTTTAATATTTGGATTTTATTGTTAATTTTCTTACATGGTTTTAGCTTCTTTGTGTTTGCCTTGTATGCAGTTGTAATATTTGTAGTTACTTTATTTTATTTTATTTTATTTTATTTTATTTTATTTTATTTTATTTTATTTTATTTTATTTTATTTTATTTTATTTTATTTTATTTTATTTTATTTTATTTTATTTTATTTTATTTTATTTTATTTTATTTTATTTTATTTTATTTTATTTTATTTTATTTTATTTTATTT